AAAGGAAGAAGTGGGTAAAGATAATGGATGGATGATAGATGGATGGGAGCTAAATAATTTGACTTTTTCTAAAGGTTAGAATGAGTTTACTATGCTCACTCTTGAAAAGGGACTTCTGGAGAAAGGTAGCAGCTTCTTGACACTTGGGACAAACTGAGTAAAGATAATGGATGGATGGATAACTAAAATATCCATCCATCCATAATATTTTACCCGCTTCTTCCATTTTGGGTCATGGGGATCGCCGGTGCCCATGTCCAGCAATCATTGTGTGAGCGACAGGGTACACCCTGGACAGGTTGCAAATCCATCACAGGGCCACATAGAGACAAACAAGACAACCATTCACCCTCGCTCACACCTAGGGACAATTTAGTAAGTAAGTAAATTTTATTTATATAGCACATTTTACAGGTCAGAAACCACAAAGTGCTTTACAGAATACAAGACATTATTAAGTATTAAGAGAGTTAAGGCAGCACAGAGTCAGAGGCAATTCATTCCACAGTCTGGAGGCCATAGCCCTAAAAGCTTTATCCCCTCTGGTCTTAAAATGAGTCCATGGGACCATTAACAGCCTTTGACTGGAAGATCTGAGACTCCAAGAAGAGGAGTAGGGCTCTAAATGTTTTGAAATGTAGACTGGGGCTTGACCACTCAGGGCTCTAAAAGTAAGAACTAAAATTTTTAAATGTATTCTAAAATCAGTGGTGTAGTCTACGTGATACGCTGGTATATGCTGTATACACACTAGAAAAGCTTGGGAATTTCCGTATACCCATGTAAAAGTGCCCAGTGATATGTGACATATTGGGTACGTGTCATTGTTACATTGAAACATTGAAACGTCTGGGCGAAATACATCATAAACGCCCTCAGAGACCAGTGGTGCCTCTCTTCTTTTATGCGGGGTAGGGGGGAGATGGAAGGTCTGTTTTTTCTGCCAGGCGCGCGTGCCACCACAAGCTGCTCCAACTATGTGAAGCTAGCAGGAGTGACACAGAGCATTGCCGGAAAAAGGATGAGGGGCTTTTCAGAATAAACGTTTAGACCAGATATTTATATTTTCTTGTGTCAAAGGTATTAGTAACATTTGAAGCCACCAATGTGACGTTTTGACAATATACAGCAAAACCCATATTGAACAACAATTATTGGTCACAGTACTTTTTTTAAACAACATGTATTTAAATAAAAAAAGCATTCATATTTATATTTGCAATTTAAAGCCTTAAGAACATTCATATTTTGTCCAGTTAACTTTGGAAGTCTGAAATAAAATGAAAATAACATAAAAATAAATATGATAATATGCCTGCGTGTGTGCATACGTGCATGCATGCGTGTATATATATATATATATATATATATATATATACACACACACTCACACATACATTCATACATTATCTTCCACTTCCTAGAGAGGTGCTTAAGGAAAATCAAAATAAATTGACAATTACATTGTATCAACTGAAGTATTTTGGTTTCTAAGCACAGTATACCCACTACAAAAATGTAGACTACACCACAGTCTAAAATGTACCGGTAGCCATTGTAAAGAGATTAAAACTGGTGTTATGTGCTGTCTTTTCTGTGTGTTGTTAAAAGTCTTGCAGCAGCATTCTGAACTGTGCAAACGATCAACATCCTTCTTGTTCAAACAAATGAAAAGACTGTTTCAATAATCCTGATGGGATGTAATAAAAGCATGGGTAATCATCTCTAATTTGGCTTTTGACACAAGAGATTTAAGCCTAGAAATATTTCAATTTTGCAATTTCTCATTATTCCACAAGAATGGCATTGCAATGACATGGCAGAATCAAAAATAATGCCAAGGTTCCTGAGATTTGGTTTGACAGAAGAGGCTAATACACCAAGATGTTGCTTAATTTCAGTTGTTTGATTGTCAGGAGCAATAATTAAGGTTTCAGTTTTATTGCAGTTAAGTTGCAGGAAGTTGTCACTGAGACACTGTTTGATATTGCTAATACAGTTTAACAAGGAGGAAAATTTGTGAAGTTCAGAAGGTCTTAAGGAACAATTTAGCTGAATGACATCAGCAAATAACTGATGACACATCCGAAAACTGACATTATTTGGCCGAGGGGGAAAATATACAAAATAAACGGAATAGGTCCCAACAATGATCCCTGAGGTACCCACATAGCAGGCTCTTGGATTCTGACATTATCTGGTTTGCAGAAACACTAATTGCTCTGCCAGAAAGATAGGAGATACACCACTCCAGTGCCAAGCCCGATAGATGGACTACATCTCGTAGCCTGTTAATAAAAATACTGTGTTCAACAATATCAAAGGCAGACATTAGATCTAGGAGAACCATCACCATGGATTCTCCAGAGTCGGCTGACATCAAAATAACAATAGAAACTTTAAGTAAAGCAGTCTCTGTGGAGTGGAGCTTTTGAAACCCATACTGAAATTTGTTAAAGATCTCATGTTTTTCCATGTGAGTGATTGATTTCTCAGTCACTACTTTTTCAAGAAGCTTTGACAAAAATGGGATCTTGGTGATTGGTTTGTAATTTTCAAACTTTGTAGAATCCAGGTTTGCTTTTTCTTAAAATAATGGCTCAACAATAGCATGCTTGAATGAACTTGGAAACAAACCTGATTAAAGAGAAGCATTGCAAATATCTACAATGTAGAGACCAATGACAGAAAAAACTTTTTTAACAACATTGCTGAAAGAATGTCATTTGGACCGGTAGAAATTTTCATTTTATCAAACAAAGTTGAAATGTCACAAAATGTCACTTGATTAAACGTAATGTTTTTTATGCTATTAGTGCTTAGTGCATTTTTAGTTGATGTTTTTCTTAGTTCATATCTTATATGTTATTATGGCTTTTCTTTTACATTTTATTGTTGGATGTAACTGGGACCCTGTGTACATAATTTTGTTCCACCACATGTACCACATGTGGTGCAAACAACAATAAAGAATCTCTGATTCTGACTCTGATGGACAATGGTTCCTCTGACATTATTGACTTTCATCAGAAAAAAGTTAAGAAAGCCATTACTGTCAGCTTTGGAGGATACTGGGACTTCAGGAGCGACAGGAGAAATAAAGGAGTTTATAATATGAACCAAGACCTTAGATTTTATTCTTATTTAAGGAGAAAAGATTTGAAAAATATTAAAGTCTAGCAGCTTTTATTTGTTCACTTAAAAAGGTCCAAAGTTCACTGAGGTGAAGCCTGTGAACCTCCAGTTTAGTGGATTTCCACTTGCGTTCTACCTGAAAACATATTCTTTTGGATTGCCAAATGAATTCAGTTATCCATGGAAAGGCCTTTTTAAATGGTACGAGGGGAGTTTTCAAGGGTGCCACTATGTTAAGAATGTCTGAAAAATGATTATTAAAACATGTGGCAACATCAACAACCGGGCATTCCTTCAGCAAAGATGGATCAATCAGATCACAGAACCTGTCAGCAACATCCTGAGTAACAACTCTTGACTGGATTTTATGTTTCACTGGTAATGGATCTAAAGAAAAACTAAGATCAAGAAATACTCAGCAGTGGTAACTCACAAAAACATCACTAACACACAGATTTGAGATATTTAGGCCCAGAGAGAAAAGAAGATCCAATGTGTGGCCTTTAGTATGTGTGGGGGGCAGCACGGTGGTGCAACTGGTAGAGCTGCTGCCTCTCAGTGAGCAGGTCCCTGGTTCAAACCCCGGTCCAGGGGCCTTTCTGGGTGGAGTTTGCATGTTCTCTCCGTGCATGCGTGGGTTTTCTCTGGGTACTCCGGTTTCCTCCCACAGACCAAAAACATGCATGTTAGGCTGATTGGTAACTCTAAATTTGTCCCTAGGTGTGAGTGAGAGAGTGAATGGTTGTCTGTCTCGTTTGTCTCTATGTGGCCCTGTGATGGACTTGCAACCCATCCAGGGTGTACCCCGCCCCTCGTACAGTGATTGCTGGACATGGGCACTGGCGACCCCCGTGACCCAAAATGGAAGAAGCGGGTAAAGATAATGGATGGATGGATGGATAGTATGTGTGGGATCATTCATTGAACCTCAATTTAGACAGGTTAATCTCATCGAGCCTCTATGACTCATTTACAAGAGAGACCTGATTTAAACAAAGAATGATGCCAACAATGGACAACAGCGACAACAATAGACAATCACAAAAGAGGTATACAGATTTTTTTTTAACAAATAAAAAATGATGGCAAAAAATAGTAAAACAGCTAGAATATAAGGCAAATGTAGAAAACTAAAAACAGGAACATGTCTGCATTGGTCCTTGCCAGGAGTCCAACAGATTTGTTAAAGACGGGAGCTGGCTGCGGGCCACCGGACCCGGAAACCACCTCTACCACGTCTTTTCCCCTGGCTTGAATCTCCCTCAGAAGTGGCAACTCTCATTATCCATAAATCAAGGAAACGTCAATTAAGTTTGATCAATTATATTAAAAAAGTCAGGAAAAGGTTACAATTTACAGTGCTGGACTCTCCGGTCTGTGACGCATTCACAAACCCGGAAGAGCCCCGATGTCCCGTGTCATCACTCATTTATAGGGTCCTAGACTCCTCCTTCACAGAAGGGGAGCTCAACCTGTCAGTGTATGAGGGGTGTGACTAAGTGTGATCTCAGTGGATCTTATGTGGTTTTGATGTGTTAGGAAATATGATACGGTGCTTCAAAAAGCTTTTCTACGTGATGTGGCAAGCAGATTAAACTCTATTCCTTGACTGATATTGAAATCCCAGGGAGACTCTCTTAGAGCTGCTGGCCCAGTTTAACCCAGTCAGAATCAGGTCATAATTTCATTACAATCCTGTCTCTGAGCAGATCAAAACCATAGGACCAGTCTAGATAAGAAATATTCAACAACTTAACAGAAATGTTAGAGCCTGTAGGCATCTCCCGCCAACATATAAGGAGTAATGTACATTCAACCAGAGGAAAGTGATTAATTGCTTGCATATCTGTCGGTATTGAACTCAGAGTTTATTCGAGGGAAACCCCTTTGGGGTCCCTCGACCAGAGGAAGTTGTTGTAGACCAGGAGCGAGTCCACCACTCTGGCGGTATGTGCGTGGAGTTCCTATGAATGAACATCCAACAGGACAAAGTTCATTTAAGTGGACATTCCTTCTCCCTCTGCCAGATTTCTGTGAGGAACATAAAATCCACTAATGTTTGTTGGTGAAAAGCTCATTCAGCATAAAGGATTTCCTTGCAATAGAGTGAGTGTTGAGCAAAGCGATCTGAAGCAAAGATGACAGGCTGATGTTTTAGAATCAGAATCAGAATAACCTTTTTATCATTGCACTGAGATGCAATAAGAACATGTACGTACAGCTGTCCGAAAGATGGATGGAGTGCATGAAGCTGCTGCTATAAAGCGCGGCTTTCCTATTCTTTTCAGAATACATTTTTTTAGATAGAAAAAGGGACAAGGCCATAAGGAGAGGGATAGTGGCATTACAAAAAAGATCTATTCACACCTTGTCCTTACAGGACACGATTTAAGGGGTCGTTTACACGGCATATATTCTGAGTGAATCCGCACCCTTCTCTCTGCAGTTCTGCTGTTTATTTACACGACACCAGTGCCCCCCCCCCCCCTCTTTGAATCCGAAGGTTTCTGCACCTACCTTCCAGAGTGGAGGTTTTTCGCTGACCGCCCGCTGATAATGTAAACAACTCCCGCTGAGGCTTTGTGCTAAACCACATGCACACACGCACGCGTTGGCAGATGGCATTTTTATCAACATGGCAGCGGACACAGTGCTTTCTGAACTACGACTGATGGAATATATTTTTAATCTCGTAGTTAATCTACATCAGATTCCAGGTGCTGTGACTGACATCTGAGTTGGAAGAGACACAGTTGGCTCCAGTTCTAATATCACTGTTTATAGAACAAGCATGTCGAGGCACGTGGATATTTCACATGTCGCGCTGCACTATAACATATTAAATGTGCTAAATAATAACAATTTAATAATAATAAACAGTATTTATCTTAAGTTTGTGATATATAATGAAGCTCTCTGAGCTAAATGAAGCTATCTGGACATTATGTAATTCAAGTTATGTGATTAAAATGATGCTAAACATATTGCGTGTTATTAAAGTTGAAAATGAAGACATCTGGTTTAATTATTTATTTATTTATTCAACACCACAAACTGTATGTCACACAAACACTGATAATTAAACTGAACACACTATTAAAAACAAGTTAACTGAACTGTAAACTACATTGATGAACTAGACTCTGCTCTGTTTTCATCCTGGATACTGGCGACATTGTTTTTCTAGCTCGTTCAGGCCGTCACTCCTTTGATTAATGCAGCTTAAAATATTGAATGGATTGACTAAAAGAACTGAGGGAATTTTAAATAAATAGTTCATCCAACATCTTTCTCTTTGACGTCCTCCTGCAGTGCACCTGGGCCGAGCCTCGTTCAGAACCAATCCGCCTGGTGGAAGGACAGCTTCCTCTTTCAGGAAAAATAAAAATAAAAACTCAGTTGTTGTTGTGTGATCAAAGTAAACACAAGCTAACATTATTAAGAATGTTGATTTACGTGCTATCAATCAGCTACTGATTATCAGTGTAAAATCCAACATTGTCGACTCGGTTCTGGTCCACTCAGCGACCGGTGTGGAGCTGTTAGATGAAGAGGTCCTGCTTGGCGTCAAATCTGTCGACTCTTAGCCAAAATCCAGCTTTAACTTGTTATTAAGATGTTGTTAGCTGATCTTTTAGCCCAGAGGCAAGGAGTGTGCCGAGGCAGCACGCATGCGCATTAGGTGAATGTATAAAATTCACAGCGCCAACTAATGACCCGGCATGGTAAATACAGCGTATTCGGTGGGGCGGGGGGGATTCCTATTGCTGTAGACAAAGATTTTCCTTAGTTTACACATTTCCCAGGAGAATTTGATAAGTCAGCCTGTTTCGAGGCCAGCTGAAGAGAGATTCAAATAACAACAATTGTTGATTTATTCAGGCAGACAATTTTTCTGTCAACCTTTCAGTCTGTACTGATAACTTCCGAGGTCTGAAATAGCCAGATTAGGGTGCATTCGGCTGGTCCGTGCCTATGAGCCAAACCAAGGTTGTTTTTCATGCTGACAAGTCCCAAAGCCACAGGTGGCCTGTGAATCAAATCACTTCCAACTTACAGTTTTGCTTGTAAATCAGCTGATTTTGAGTCCTCAAAGCACGAACCAACCTTCACATAGACAGCAACCTGACGAGGTCCAAATTAGCTGTGACCATCTTTTTTGTATGTTGATAAACCAGGATCCAGACTATGTTATCATAAATCCAATTATATGCAATTTCGGCATTCTTGATAGATAGCCGAGGTAGACACAACCACCCCAAGAGATTTATCCAGCTGCATGCATCTCATTAGAGCAGTTGAGGGTTCTCCAGGACCCTGTCACTTTGTTGAAAAAAAAAGGGTAAATTACATCAAAAGTCCAGTAGGTCAGATCCAAAACAGTAATTTTCATCTCGGAAGATGTGTAAAAATAGGAGCTACTCTGATACACAAACAGAGAGCAAAAAAAAAAAAAAAAAGGTCGGAGGAGAACAGGGAGCGGGAAGGAATGCATGCACCTCATTAGAGAGCTAGTGAAGAAAAAAATATTTTTTTAGTGTAGACAGTTTAGTTTCCAGTCAGCCTAATACGCATGTTTTTGGTCTGTGTGAGGAAACCAGAGTCTCCAGAGAAAACCCACTAATGAACAGGGAGAACATACAAACTTCACACAGAAAGGCCCCCGAACCAGGATTTGAACTGGGAATTTCATTATTGGGGACTTTCATTTGCACGTGTGCTGTCCTGAGAAGCACTTGGTTAAGGACTTTTTAGATCTATTGGACTCATTTAATTTAACTCAGCATGTAAACGGCCCCACCCAAGAGTGTGGACATACACTGGACCTTGTTTTAACTCATGATGTGACTGTTAATAAACTTGTTATTGGTGATAATGTTTTTTCAGACCACATGCCAGTCTGGTTGGAGTTCACCCTCCCCATCTAACTCCTAAGTCGTGCATTCCTGCACGTCGCACCCGGACCATTAACCACTTCACTGCCGCACGTTTCACAGATGTTTATAACTCTGAAATGATCATTCAGCCCCCGGTGTTTCTCACCACCATTGAGGAGCTGACATTCCAGTTCAACTCTGTCTGCTTAAAGACTCTGGATCATGTTGCGCCTGTTAAAACTAGAAAATCAAAACTTAGAGCAGAACCTTGGCTTGTCATAACCGCGGGGAACCCAGATTTGTATGAGACTCGGAACGAGACAGACTCAGGTGGATACAAAAGAACAGTGTTTATTTACAGGTGAGAATAATGTACAATGCTGGTGCAGCTTCTCTGCAGCTCCTGGAGGAGGTA